AATCATTGTCTTATCAGATAATGCAATGGTTCATTCCACAGAACTCCTCACATGACCCAAAAAATGTTCATACCGTCTGAAACTTGAGATGATTCAGATGCCATCTTTGACCTCTTGCGTTTGGAGGACCCTTAAAGAGAAGAAGTAACCAGGATGGATATTTTTAGTTATTTTCTGTCATTTATAGACAGGAACAAAAGCTGATATCCAAAGTAACAGCTCTGATGGCTTCATATCATAGGAGTCTTGAGCTGGTTCCAAAGACTTCTCATTGAAGACTTCTGTGTCACTTTCACTGACTTGAGACTTCTGTACAGCTCTAACTTCAGAAGACAAACCTCCTGTTTTGATAAAAATTTTGTGAACTTATCTTATTTCACATACTAAAGTGGCGAGTAGAACAAAAAAAAAAAGCATTTTTAAGTATAAATTGCATTCTATTATGAAATCTATTTTCTACTCACTTTGTATGCCCCAATCAATCTCATCAAGAGATTGCCTTTGTAGATCTCAATTCCACGTTCGATTGCCATGAGCAGCTTGCTCATCTTTGCAAGCTGAAGTGTGTTCTCAGTTAGGCGATAGTATTCACGATGAACACAAATATCATGTCCCATAAATTTGGCAAGTTGATCCAACTCATTTTCTTTCAGGTTCATTATCTGACTAAGTGTAGCCACATTGTTCCTCAGGTGGGTTGACATGAGTGTTTCAGGCTTCCTTGCCCCACTTGCAGCTGCATAGTTCCTCAAACAGTCTGAACATCGGAGATGAGAATCCAAAAGCTGTCTTGCAAAGACGTACTCGTTACTACCCAAAATGCCATTGTCCTCACCCCTTTGCTCAATGAGGAAATCAAGTGATTTTGTCATCTCGCTGGTAAGCAGCACAGGTACTTTACAGCCTCTCTTCCCTCTTATCACCAACCTGGTAAACTTGTGACTCAATTCTTGTTCCAGTTTTGAAAGGCACTGCATAATGTCCTCATTTGGTTCTGTTCCTATATAGGTCATCAGAGGCAATTTTGCTGCCTCACCTTGCTGTCCTAGGTTGAAAAGTATGATTTGTGAGAGAATGCACTCACTGAGAATCTTGTATGCTTTAGGGTTAGGCGCTTCCATGAGTTATACTTTTGCCTCCTCTGATGTGGACTTCAATACTTGATGCAGCGTCATCACATCTTCTGTGAGTGGGATCATTTCTTTTTTGTTTCATCTGTCCTCTTCTAAGTTTGTTCGTGCACGGCGTGACACAAAGAGGTCCCACTCTGCTGCCACTAAGTCCAAGAAGCTGTTTACTGTGCCTGCAGCTGCATCATTTTCAGCCTTTATATGATCCCCAATCACTATGTGACATACTGCCTTCAGCGAGTGTCCTAACGTCAAAGCAAGAGATGGTGTGTTATACCTGTACTTGGAGCTGGTGAAACCAGAGGCTTTTTTGCTGCTTGCACAGCTAAAGAAAATTTAGGTGGCACCAAAACATCTTGCAGCATCTCAACTTCGCGGTCAAGGGACTTGGCAGCAAGTAAAAATCTACCCAACTCTCTCATCTTTTGACTGACATGACCATCTTTTGATTGATCACTCCCGTGTTTCTCCAGCAGTTTATCTCCAAATGCACATATGAGAGGGTCGTGTCTTAATTCAAGGGACACCTTGTCAATTACCATTCTCTTAACAATGTTTGAGCATCTTTCTGATGGCTGTGCTTTGCATGGAAGGAGAGCTGAGGCAGCAGCTTGAACTCTTCTTTTTTTCTGGGATTTAACTTCTGACTTGAACATCGTTCTGCAACAGTTTTTCATGTTTCCATAGTTCATCTTTTATGAAGAACCCATAGCAAATGTTGCATGGCAAATAATCTTCTGCATTTGCATGTTTTGATGGCTGTCTATAGGTTACTATCTCGCCCTCACCCTTCTGCATAGTTACTTTCTGTCATTTATAGACGGGAAAGAAATCTGATATTCAAGGTAACAGCTCTGACTTACTGACTTGAGACTTCTGTACAGATCTAACTTCACAAGACAAACCAGCTGTTTTGATAAAAACAACATTTTGTGAACTTATTTCACATACTAAAGTGTCGAGTAGAACAAAAAAACCTCAGCATTTCTAAGCAGGTAGACATCAGTTTCACGTTCGAGCCATGAGCAGTTTGCTCATCTTTGCAAGCTGAAGTGTGTTCTCAGTTAGGCGATAGTATTCACGATGAACACAAATATCATGTCCCATAAATTTGGCAAGTTGATCCAACTCATTTTCTTTCAGGTTCATTATCTGAC